CCCACCTCCCGCCCTTCTCATTTTCGAGTCTGCATTGTGTCACACATTCTAATCATTCATGAAAAACCCAGCCAAAGCATCCCAAGCACGATTCCCCTCTGATAGTTGCCATGGCGACCTTGGGAAGTAGCCAACCCCTGATGGTCGTCATGGAAACGGAGAAGCCCAAAAGCAATCATGACTTCAGGTCAGGCCTGTGTGAAGACATCACGAGGTTGTCAGGCAGTAAACAAACCCATTCACACCCCAACAACTGGGGAAGGGGCAGAGGGTCCAAGTGTGGGCTGGAGAAAGGGAAAGACATTTGATGTCTTATGGGACCAGGGTCCCCACCCCCCACATTCCAAATGCCAGACAAGATGAGCTGAGCAGAAGGAACATCAGAGAAACATGAAGGCAAGGGGTCCTTGGGCACCAGAGGATGGGCTGCAGGGAAGCTTCCTCCATCTGACCTGAGCTAGGCAAGGCGGGTGATCTCCCTGCAGGCCCGGGACATGGGACAAGTGGGCCTGAATCCCTCCACCCTCTAGCCCTACTTCTGATGGGGGCACCTGGGCCCCGCCTCCACAGCCCACCCACCCTCCACTACCAGACAGCAAAGGGAAGGCAGGGTCTCAGCCCAGCTGCCCTGGCAATGCTGGCCACACTCACGGGCACTGACAACAGGCAGAGAGTGATGGCAGGGGTGGGGGGATGGGTAAGGCCTCAGGTGGGCTCCAGGCCCCTCTGCGAGGGAGGACCAAGCACTCCCCATGATTACATCCATGTGCCTGAGACAGGACAACAGCAATGCACATAACGCTAACAGGGAGGGCAGAGAGCTGCTTTCCAATAGCGACTTGACCCCTGTCATTCAGGAAGGATCCAACATGTGCCCCAGGAGCCCACCCCTCCCATTCTGTGCTGGGGTTAAAGCAACACTAGAGAATCCATGGGCCCCAGCTGGCTCCCACCACCCATGAGGCACTTGCGGAACCAGGTGGCTGGCAGTGCCATGAGAAACTTTTCCATGTTGAGAGGGAGGAGGCGCCGCTGAGGTACCCTTCCAGTTCACACTCCAGAGCACGTCAGTGCTCAGGGCTGGAGCCGGCCAGTGACATAGCTATGCGGTGAGTCACCAGCTGTTTACAGAGCTGGGAGCTCACATTCCCACAGAGCCAAGGCCCCTCCCACCCCTGCGAGGACCCTGGGGCCCACCGCCTGGCCAGCAAAGCGAAGCGGAAAAGGAAGGACCCAGTGGAAGGGCCCTCTGGCCAGACCCAGGGTGACCTGCTGAGCTCAGCTGGGTGTTGAAGGGCAAAGTCCAGGACAGGTATCTTTCCACTGAAGAGATGCCTCCTGTGATGCACTATGGTGGGACACTGAGGTGACCAGGATGCACACAGGACTGGGGCTTGGCCCCCGTGTGTGACCCCACAAGTGTCCATCAACTACTTACATGAAGTCAAGGTTACCTACCTGGCCACAGCCCCACCACAGGTCCCTCCCTTAGCTGGTCTGAAGCCCAGCACTGAGAACGCATCTGCCCACTCTGAGCCCACCTCAGCAACCTCACTTGGCTTCTGGGGATGCTGGGCCACCAGGAGAAGAGCAACCCCTAGGAGTCCCCTGGACTCTCTGTTTTCAAGATGATAATAACACAGGAGTACTGAGTGGATACGTACAAAAGCTGCGGTAATAGTTACTGTCTCCCAAAATGCCTTGTTCAGCATATGACAACATTGGGGGACGACTAAGTAAACACTCTTCTCTCTGTGGGTCTTCATTTCCTCCTCTGAAAAATGAGAGGATCAAAACAAAGGACCCTAAGGTCCCATCCAGTTCCCAAAAGTCACAGGATTGGGTGGAGCAGGTGACACTGGGAGAGAAACCCTGACCTGGAGCTCCTAGACCACATCTGAGGCTCCCCTCTCAAGCCCCCAGTGCTCTGGGGCACACCTGCAGGACCCCTCTGAGGAACTAGAGACCTGCCGCCGCTGGAGGAGGTGGGGGTCCCAGGCAGGAGACGCCAGCGCACAACAGTGTGCTCAAGTATGCCCACCACTAACTCAGGCAGATCAGGTCTCTGCTTCTGCCATGGGATCCCACTCTACCCAGGAAGCCTAGACCAGCTATCAGGAGAAACTAGGCAACCTACGATGATGAGGCTGGTGTCCCACCTGGCCAGTAACTCAGTGGTCTGTCCCCGTGAAAGGTGGAGTAGCAGGGACAGCCCTAGCCACTCTGGGGCCCAGATGGGCTGCAGGTCAGGGTCCTGCCCTTCAGTCTGGTGTCAGGAGCAGAGGACAGGCCAGGTATGGTGATTCTCTTGTGAGCTCAGTGGATAGGACCGTGCAGCACTTACGTCTACCCAAAATGCACAAAATAAAGCTATGCATTATTCAGCTAAAGTCACTTCAAATATCAAAGGCAAGAAAAATGACGGCTTGCTTTGAAAGAGATTCGGAGAAGAGTTTTATATGTGTGAAAAAGAGTTTGTAACACAACTGATTTAAAAACAACAACTGCTCTAACAGGGATTTTGTAAACCATTAAACCTTAGGCAGCCTTAGTGACCACCAGAGCACACAGAGAAGGGACTCCTTTCTGAGACTAGAGACTGAAGCCTTAGGAGGTCACGCCAGGCAGGAGAGCATCCCATGGGTGACAGGAATCCCCATGAAGTTGGCTTCCCCTTCTATTGTGGGTCCAATGCAAGCACAACTGCCTCAGCCACAGGCCAGCACATAAAAATGCCTCTTCAGCAGCTTCCGATGAGGATGCTCTGGGTGCTGTCTTACGTCCATCAACTAACAAAAACTTCAGCAATGCTACACACATACATCTGACCACTTGAGTCACCAGGGAAGTTCAGCAGTCAATGCCAAGGCTGGGATCCTGGGACAGTGGGTCTGAACTTCTATGGCTGTGTGCTCACTGACCTAAGTAAGAGTTACAGCACTTGCCTCCCACATCCCTGAAGAAGCAGCTGGTCAAGAAAGTTCACACAGTCAGTACCTATAACTTGGAATACCTTTTAGGTGACTATTTTTCTAATTGAAGAGGTTGGGTTTTTAGCCCAAAGTCTGAAATTTCCTGATGATATATACCTCAACAAGATTCAACAGGAAAAATCATTTCCCCCAAAAGAAAGTGAAACACACCAGAAGCCTTAAATGGAGTCAACTCCAGTGACTGCAGTTTCAAATAAACTACCGAGCCAGGGCTGCCGTGCCCCTCCTCTTCCAAGACGGAGACCAAAGGGCCCGGGTCCCATCAAGAGCAGGGCAGGGCTCCTTCACCCAGGAAAGCATGTCACAGAGGATGGGAATTCCGTGCCTGGCATCCTGGAGGACAGGGCAGGTAGCCCCGGTCCAACAGTCCAGAAACTGCCCTTTCAGGAAACAGGTGAGCCAGGGACAGCGATCTCATCCCAGTGGATCATTTTTTTTACTTTTCAACTCCTAGCAAACATTCATTGGCACTCACTGCTCTGACAGCACTCATCTGGGGGCGATTAACAGCCTTGGACATCCCCAGCAATGCTCTGTCTCTCAATGTGCTGGCAAAGGATGAGAAGGACCCAGCTAAGGGCCCAGGGGGAACATTTTCTCCATGAATAAGGTCAGGTGGCTAACTGGGAGCAATGACCTCCATCCCTAAACAGTCCTAGGTATGAGATTATCTAGAGGAAAAGATTTCACAGTTTCAAGGCATTCTAATTCTTACCTAGATAAAATGACTAACCTAGACCACCTATCTCATTCATTGCCAAATCTCTGATGCCTAGCACGGTGGGCTCTCATAAGGAGCTTGTCCTTGTTCCCTGCGGGGACAACAGTGACTGCAACTCCACATCCCTGCTCCCTCTAGCCCTCCTGGCCAG